ATCTTTATTTTTCTTTGTTTTAAGGAAAAAAACCGAAAATCTATAAAATCTACATTGATGCCTATTTTGTTGCAGTTTATTTTCTTTTACCTAAAGTTGTCTCGAGTCATCATGGACCTCATAGGTCTGCGATGGTCCAAGGCTGGTCTCTTTATCCCCCACGGTACTAAAAGGACCATCATAGCCTGTTAAGACCGTGGTGGAGTGATGGTCCAAGAACCTTATTGATGGGCCATCTCAGTCCTAATAGAACCGTGCTGGTCATTTCATTCCCACTTAACTCTGTAACTCCATAATCGCCCATCACGGTCCTATAGTCATCACAACCCTAGTAGGCCCATGAGAGTCCGTTTAGGATGGAAGGCTCAGGAGACCGGCCATCAGGATAATGGAAATTCCTTAAGGTCCATGATGACTCTTTACGGCCCTCTCGAATGGTACTTTGGGTTAAAAAATAAACCATCAGAGAATGGGTATGGATGTGGATTTTGAAAAATTCGAGTACTTTTCAAATTATTGAAAAATAGGATATTTTTAATAATTTTGATACAAATTATTAAACTATTTTTTTAATAATTATTAAATTATTTTTTAATAATTTTTCAAACTATTTTTAATAATTTTTCAAATTATTTTTTAATAATTTTTAATAACTATTTTTAATAACTTTGACAAAAGTTATTAAAATAATCCTATTTTTCCAAAAATTTGAAAAATACCCAAAATTTGTAACCTTAAACAATCAAATTAACGCATGCCTCCAAATTTTATCAAAAATGTAATTTTGGTGTAAAAAATTCTTAGAAAATCTTGAAAATCTATTTTGATATTTAATTATAAAATTTTAAATTCCAAAAATTGTTCAAAACAATTAGATTTATAAACACATGAAATTCTTGAAAATGAGTGGTCCAAATAATGTGTTGTGAGATACACTAGTTTTAAAACTCGAATTATTATTATTATTATTTTTATATTCATACATCTCAATGTTGAGATGATCAATTAAAATGTTTTCCAACATCAAAATAATATTTTATAATGATTTGTCAAAAAAAAAAAAATATTTTATGATGGATCTTTGAAACGCACCTTAATTCTATATTTTAAGGTCGCACCGTTACCTAAACTTTATCGTTTGGAGATTCTTGTGGGCTATCCATTTCACTTGTTTGGGATGATCGTCAAACTCATGCCCACACTTTTCCTTTAATCTTCATCGTTACCAAAGTCTTTGAAGCATTACTTACACAAACCTTTTGACTAGTCTCTATCGTAATGCGCGCCCATCCCAACAATTGGTGTTGTGATGGATCTTTGTTATTTTCGTACCGCACGGGTTGTCCAATAAGGATCATATAAGTTATGGAAAAGTCGTTTTGTGCTTCTGATCGCATGGCTCCACGCTTCTTTTTTGCGGGCTCACTCGTAAAGCATAAAGTAATGTCGGCCTATATGGCAATCGAATTCCGGGAATCACCTGAATCAGTTTGGGACGGGTGGAGTATTAGGCTGATGATTTGCTCGACAAATTTTTTTTTTTTTGAAAAAATATCATTATATCTTTTTTTGAAGTTTCATTTCCTAATAAATCCAAGGTTTTAAAAAAAATCTTTTAACCCCTGCTCACTTTAAACTTATTTTTTAACGTAAACAAATACGAGAAAGACATACGCTTTCTAAACCCAATCATTTATCTCTTTTTTCTTATATACCTCAAATTTTTCTCTTTCTCTCTCTTCTTGTGTCTCTCATTCTCCAAGCACATCTCTTTCTTCCCGATAACTTCTCACCTCTGTGAAACTCTTCTCTATCTCTAGAAATTTGGAAGAATGGCTTTTAAAAAATGCATGTCTTTTTAGATTTGTTTAGCCTAAAAAAATAGGTTTAAATTAACTCAGGGGTTAGAAGAAATAAAATTTATATTTTTTATGCCTCAATATATCTATTAAAATCTTGGGTCTATTGTGAAATGAAACCTAAAAATAGAAAGTATGGAGATATTTATCATTTTTTTTAAGTAAAATAAAAAAAAATACGTGACAACCCTTTTGTTTATAGTGTTTTTGGATCCATTGATCGTGTCTGTTTTAACCCTCAATCCAATCTATTTTGACACTATCCAAAACAAGTTTATTTGGATATTTGGAGAGAATTTTTTCACCAAAAGTTTGAATTTTTTAACCCTTAAAAACTTGATATGCTATTCTTACTCTCAATTCCCAATGTAAGTTATTTGTATTTGTTTCAAGTTATCTGTCTCGGAGGTCTTTAATGTTGGGTTTGGTGACAGCTAAATCACCGTACCCATATTTTATTCTAAATATTATGATATTATGATATTATGGGAAATATAAAATTAACTTTATTAAGAAACAAAAAAGTGATATCTTTATAAGAAGGTAAAGGATGACATAATACCCATCCTTTGAGAGTCACCCTAATATGGAGATGGTTTTCAAGAGAGAGAGAGACATGGCCTCCGAGAGAAGGGCAGTATTCCCATGAGTTTTGGGTTGGTTAACTTCCACTTCTAAAGAGAGAAAATTTCTATATTGCTCTCGAGTCTATCTTTCCGGTATTGGTGGGAAAGAGGATGTTGATCGACGGTGTTGCTCGGTCAAGAGAGCGGGTTTAGAGGGGAAGATCAGTGATGGTCTTTTACCGATGTTTAAAGATAAATATTATCTTTTCATTGTGATAGTGGATTTCTAATTGCCGAGAGCGTGGATGTAGCCTTACGAGATGAATCACGTAAATCGTGTGTTGTCATGGTGTGCTTTTTATGTTTCATTTATTTATCACACTCGATTTATAGTTGTATTCATCTATTTCGCATTTGGCCAATTGAGTACACGATCTTGGGTGAAATCCCGGTATTTGGGATTCCTGATTCCACAAGCTAAAGGGTTCTCGAGATCCCTACAATTGGTATCATAGCATAAGGTGTGTACGGGGGCCTAAGCCTTGCATCAAGAAAATGATGAATAGTGGAGTTTGATGGATTCATGGTTTGAGGTGGATAAATATGAAGGCAAAGTATTTGTGAATATTCTACAATGGAGGCAAGTGATAAGAAATCAATAATTATCCATGGTTTGAGGTGGAGAAATATGAATGCGAAGTGTTTGTGAAAATTCCACAATAGAGGCAAGTATGGAAAAATCAAGAAATCTATTCAATGAAGGTTGTCAAGGCAATTATGGTGATTTTGCTATCAAGGTGGAGATTGTTGGGTTTGGTGATAGCTAAATCACCGTACCCTTATTTTCTTATAAAGATTACGATATTATGGAAAATAGAAAATTGACTTTATTGCTTCCCAATAAAATCATATCTTTATAAAAGAGTAGAGGACATAACACCCATCATTTGAGGGTCACCCCTTTGGGGGTTATGGGAATGGATTTCCAATATGGAGATGTGTCTCCAAGAGAGAGAGACATGGCCTCTGAGAGAAGGGGCAGTATTCCCATGAGTTTTGGGTTGGTTAACTTCCACTTCTAGGGAGAGAAAATATCTATATTGCTCTCGAGCCTATCTTTGAGCGGGTTTAGAAGGGAAGATCGGTGATGGTCTTTTACCGATGTTTAAAGATGAGTATTATCTCTTCATTGTGATAGTGGATTTCTAGTTGCTGAGGCCGTGGATGTAGCCCTACGGGGCGAATCACATAAATCGTGTGTTGTTGTGATGTGCTTTTTATGTTTCATTTATTTATCGCACTCGATTTATAGTTATATTCATGTACTTCGCATTTGACCAATTGAGTACACGATCTTGGGTGGGATCCCGGTATTTGAGATTCCCGATTCCGCAAGCTAAGGGGTTCTCGAGTTCCCTACATTTAATATATCATATAACAATTAGTCGGATAAATAAGCAAAATAAAATAAATCGAGAGCCCAAATTTCAAGATTCTTTAACTCAAAATGATAAACTTTCAAATTCCCTGTCATTAGTTCACCAATCTCGTTCAAAGGTGTTCCAAGATATTCCTAACATGTTGATCCCTGACAAATTTTTTAAATCTCTAAGATTGATATTTGATATCTTTTATGCCATTTTGTTCATCATTTTATTTCCAAAGTGTTTTTTATTTTAAATATTTTTAATGCTTGAATTTTTTTTCCTTCATTTTTTTTATATATATTTTCTCTGATTCCTTTTTTTAATTTGTTGAGCTAACTTAGCCATTCGGCTCAGGACTAGTGGGTGACTGGTTCGCTCGGCTCATGACTAGTGGGTGACTGGTTCGCTCCTTTGGCGCTAGTTTTTGTATCACCTGCATAATACATCCTCAACAATTGGAAATGCATTCATGTCGTAGATCCATGTGCCGGTTGTTCCCAAAATAGAGTTAATAATGAATTGTGCATAAAATATCTACTTTCTTAGTGTAAACTTCATTTATTTGTCAATTAACAGCCAATTGAAAACAAGTTTTATTTTTTTATTTGTTAATTCAAGATCGTAATAATTGAGATTATTGACCCACAAAATTTTGAATCCAAAATCCATTCCTAAAATATATTTTAAGAGGGGGACAACATATCTTAGATTGTGGAAGAGGGGTCGCATATAAACCTTTTCTAAATATTTGTTTGCAACGATAAACTGCCTTAATTGTGTACTTTTCCCTTATAGACGGTTAGAAACTTACCAAAACAACAAAGGAAGCATATGAATTCATCTCTCAGTGACCCACCCAAGCACCAAGACTACAACAGTGTTTGAAAACAAGGATCATTGGGGCGGATCACTCACCCACAAATCCATGTCGGCTTCGGCTCATAAGATCAATTGAGAAAACTATGAAAAGAGAAATAAAATAAAATAAAAATTAAACTACGGCTTATCGGGGTGAGGAATTCGAGGAGAACTAAGATAACATTAGATGAATTTTAACAAAAGGCAATATATATATATATATGTGAAATGGGAACGGCCGCGACCCATACTATCTCGAAACCAATTTGGTTTCAACCGAATTTCATCTAAATTGAGATCGAAAAATCCCCCAATTGTTTTTACAAGCAAGATTATAATACGGCATCTCCTAAGTTTAAGGGCAAATTCTTACCACTGAATTACCCCTAAAAAATAAAAAAATGTACCGGTGAGTTTGACAACCACTTCCTAGCAAATCCAATTCCTACAAATATTTCCTTCTTTTGTCTCCTTAACAAAGTTTTCCTGAACTTGTATTTTGTCAAACACTATCGCTTATTTAGGGCCACTTTGTGGACGAATAAATTCAAATTCCCTAATTACCTCCACCAATTGGTCACTATAGACGTACTGTACACAATATGTGCTACTCTTGGTGAATCACCAAGTCTAAATTACTTAATTACCCTCCTATTGTACTCCATCTATGTAACTATACACAAGATGGATCACATGAGTTTCGTGGAACCCAGCTCCATTTTTGACCTTCTCAACAAGTGCACAAACCTGAGGCAGTTTAAGCAAATACATGGCTACGTTATCACCACTAAACAATGCAATCTCAACCACATTCTAGTGAAAAAGCTGGTAAGTTTCTCTCTCATGGGTTATGCACGCCAAGTGTTTGATGAAATTCCACAACCCGACACCACCACTTTTAATTCCATGCTTTCTGGTTTCTCCAGAGCCAAAATGCACCTAGAGACAACAGAAATCTATTTTTTGATGAGAGAGAAACAAACCCAGTTCGACAGTTTCTCTCTCCCACCTGTACTCAAAGCCTTTGCTGCACTCCCGGCCTTAAACCAGGGAAGAAGCCTCCATTCGTTTGTTATCAAAGCTGGCTTCTCTAACTTTAGCCTCTTCACACAAACAGGCCTTGTAGACCTCTATGCGAAATGCGGGGATTTGGGTTCGGCTCAAAAGGTTTTTGACGCCATTCCAGAGAGAGATATCGTCTCTTACAACACTCTGATTTCGGGGTATTCGAAAGCTGGGATGATAGAAAGAGCACAACATTTGTTCAATGAAATGAGGGCAAGAAATATTGTTACCTGGAATGCCATGTTATCTGGGCATTTACACAGTGAAAAGTACTCGGAAGGCCTAAAAATGTTTGAGGATATGAGTGCAATGAAAATGAGTCCTAATGAGGCCACGCTTGTCACTGTGCTTGCATTATGTTCTAGATGTAGAAACATAGAAACAGGAAAGCAAATAGGGTCTTGGGTGAGGGCAGACCCGAAGTTTCGTGACAATTTGGTGCTCTCCACTGCACTTTTGGAGATGTACGTGAAGTGTGGTCGAGTAGAGGAGGCAAGAGCCGTGTTTGACAAAACCTCAGGGAGAGATTTGGTAATTTGGGGGGCGATGATAGCTGGTTATGCTCAAAATTCCCGGCCCTTCGAAGCTCTAGACCTCTTCGAAGCCATGCAAAAAGCTGGTTTTTCCCCCAATGAGGTCACACTGGTGAGCGCGCTCTCCGCTTGTGCTCAATTGGGGTCAATAGAGAGAGGCGAGAGGATTGTAAATTATGTAAATACCCTCGGTGGGGCCTCAAGCCCATATCTTGGCTCCGCTTTGATTGATATGTACTCGAAATGTGGCCAAATTGACAAGGCTATTGAAGTGTTTGATGGGTTAGATGAGAGGGATTCAGTAGCTTATAATGCAATGATCAATGGATTAGCCTCACACGGATTAGCTAATCAAGCCCTCGAGCTCTTCTCGAACATGCGGAATTTGGGAATCTTGTCAAATGATGTTACTTTTGTGGGGGTTCTTGTTGCTTGTGCTCACGCTGGTCTGGTTGACAAGGGGCAGCAATTGTTCTATGATATGGAATTGAGGCACGGTATAGAGCCTAAAATTGAGCATTGTGCTTGTTTCGTTGATCTTTTGTGTAGAGGTGGGAGAGTTGAGGAGGCTTATGATTTTGTAGAGAGAAAGATGAAGGTGGAGGCAAATGTGATCATCTGGGGTTCACTTTTGAGTGGGTGCAGAGTGAGAAACAACGTGGAGTTGGCAGAGAGATGTGTTGAGAGACTGACGGTTTTGGAGCCTGACAACTCGGGGAACTATGTGATGCTTTCTAATGTTTATGCAAAAGCAGGGAGGTGGGAAGAGGCTTTGAAGGTCAGAGAGAAGATGAGAGAGAAAGGGGTGAAGAAAAGGCCTGCTTATAGTTGGATTACCATAGACAATAAGGTTCATATGTTTCTGGTGGGCGATGAATCACACCCAGAGTTTGAAGAGATATATGAGGCTCTTCATGGTTTGTGTTTGCAGATAAGGTTTGATGGTGACATATCTGATTTGGGTTTTGGCAATTCAGTGACTTAATAATACATCGATCTCTCTCTCTCTCTCATATCAACAACTAATCATTTCATTATTGGAAATCCATCATCAAGGAAGAAGAGTTTAATACAATTGCCAAAGATGTCATAATTGAGTAAATTACATGACAATAAAAGAATGAATTCCTTTGTTATACAACACTGATCTTTTTGAATTAGAACATTATCCTATGTTTTCTTCTCTCTAAACTGAGAAGTGACCAAATTCAGTCCTATTTTTCAAATATCCTCTCCTCCTACTTACTAACCCCTTTAAACAATGTACCCATTTGGTGAGTATCCCTCAAGTTTCAACTGATCAATCAATACGTCCAACACTGCATATATGTCCTCCATTTGAGGGTGTAAATCCTCACTTACATGGAATTCATGAACAGTATTCTCCACCTCTATCCAACTACAACCAGGAATTTTTTGGACTCCTTTATCTCTCATCAACCCTCTAATCCTTGCAGCCTCATCCCACCTCTTTGCAGCAATGTATAAATTATACAAAATCACATAGTTGCCGGAATTTCCGGGTTCTAATTCTAAGAGATGACCCATCACTCGCTCCCCTAAGTCTACATCCCTATGAACTTTACAAGCACCTAGCAAAGTTCCCCAAACTACAGCATCGGGTTTCTTTGGAATGCTCGTAAGAAAGCGATATGCCTCCTTCAGAAGACCGGCTCGCCCTAAAAGATCAACCATGCAAGCGTAATGCTCAATCTGAGGTGCAATCCCATACTCATGTCTCATGCATTTGAAGTATTCTCTCCCTTCCTCGACCAAACCGACATGAACACAGGCTGACAACACACCCACAAAGGTGATATTGTTGGGTTCAACATGTTTCTCTCTCATCTTCGTAAAGAGAGAGAGAGCTTCTCTGCCTTGCCCATGCATTGCAAGGCCCGAAATCATCGCATTCCATGTGACCACATTCCTCTCTCTCATCTCACTGAAAACACTTCTAGCCTGGTCTAAGCACCCACATTTTGCATACATGTCGACTAGGGCCGTGCCCACATACACATCCTTTCGAAGGCCTCGAGAGAGTGTATATTGATCCAACCATGTTCCTAAGTCCAGGGCACCAGCCATAGCACAAGCTGAGAGAACTCCAACTAGTGTTATCTTATCTACACCGACTCCTCTCTCTCTCATCTCATAAAACAGTCTGATTGCCTCTTTCGATAACCCATTTTGAGCATAACCAGTGATCATAGCATTCCAAGCTACTACATCTCTCTCACTCATCCTATCAAAGATTTTTCTAGCTGAAATTAAGTTACCACACTTTGAATACATACCAATGAGAGAAGACCCAATAAAGGAATTGATCCCAAATCCTCTCTCTTCGGCATAATTCTCAATCCATCGACCAAGAACCATGTCTCCAGAATCTGCACAGGCTGCTAGAACACTAACAAGCGTCATTTCATCTGGTTCCAGACCCGATATCCTCATGAGCCTGAACAGAGCTATGGCTTCATAGGGGCTCTGGTTTTGTGCATAACCAGATATCATTGCGTTCCAGGAGACTAAATCTCTCTCCAGAATTTCATCGAAAACTTTGCGTGCGTCTTGCAATACCCCACATTTCGAATACATGGTGATCAAAGAGTGTTGAACAAACTCAACAGAATTCAAACCTGATTTGTGGAGAGAGGAATGGGCTCTCTTTCCATAGCTGCAATCTGGTAGGCCTGCACATGATACGAGCACAAATGGGTAGGTAAAATTGTTTGGTTTTATGCCTGATTCAAGCATTTTGTGATAGAATTTCAACACATCATGAAACCTCCTGTTCTGGGCCAGTCCCCTTATGATCGTGTTCCATGAAAATTCATTTGGATGAGAGAGAACAGAGAAAAGGGTCTCTGCATAAGAAATGTCGCGAAGCTCGACAAGCTTTGCTAGCAAGAAATTCTCTTTCTGAACATTGTTTGTGAGCATGTGAGAGTGAATTTGCATGAACTCTCTGGTGTTTTTGCAGCGTTTGAGGAGGTTCAGGCTCCTCCATGCGAGGAGAGGGTCACAGTGGGAAGGGTTCTGATGGGTTGGTTTTAGCGTGAAGGAACGAGTTTGGATGAGGGAGAAAATGGGAGATGCCTCTACAGAGGAGTGGCCGCGGCTCCTGATGAGAGAGAAAGTGGAAGATGGGTTGAAATAAGAGCGGTTTTTGATGAGAGAGAAAGTGGGGCAGTTTGAATTTGAAATAAGAAGAGTTCTGTGGATTCTTGATCTTGAGAGAGTTGAAGAGTGATTGACCATGGCAATCAGCCCCGAAAGTGGTTCCATGGTGCCGCAGCCTGCTATTTGTAGGAGGAGCGTCCGCCTCTTAAGGCGTAGGATTAGTCGTGCACATCAATTTGGGTGTGGAAGGTCAAGGCTTAGGCTTCGTCGTACACATATCAAACACTTGAAGTCGGGTTGCAGTAGACCCGGACCTGAACTGGGACCTTACGGCTAGAGCCGACCTGTGTTCGGGTATGGGTCTAAAAATTGGACCCAGCAGGTTGGGTCTGGGTCCCATATTTCTCAATTTATGAAAATACATTGAATATATATTTTAATTTTTGGGTCAGGTCCAATCGGATCTGGGTGCTAAGTTATATTTTCAGCTCTGGGTCCGGATCCAATGACTTCGAGTCTAGGTCCAAGTCTGAGTCCGGTGACATCGAGGTCCATTCGGGTCCGGGTCCCAGTCCCATAATAGTTTTTCGGGTTTGAGTCTAAGTCCAGTCGAATTTGACCCAACCAGCTGCAACCCCTACTTGAAGTTTGTCTTTTATAAATAAAAAATTAAGGGCTTATCTGGGTGCATTACTTCGCCTCCCTCTCAATAACCTACTTCCAATTCTTGGATCTCTATTCTATCTCAAAACATTAATTTTTTTTTCAGATGCATAGAGGGTACAATAAAAAACTTTATAATCAAGGTTAATCTAGGGGTTGAGGAGGTTACACCTCCAAAATTTATGATTCTAAAATTAATTCCAGGTCGAGTTTTACTCAAGGGAGTCGATAGATATCTTTTGGCTTTGTCTTGTGAAAATGCCTTTGAAGTTGAGATCAGGTAGGCTTGCTTGCTTTTGGGTGGGACCCACTGTTGTGTGGGGGTATGGGCCACATGTTAAGGCATGAAATATTTTGGGACTTCCGGGTTGGGTTAGGATCAGCACTGGCCTGGCCCGAGTTAGCCCAAATTCTAAAATATATGTACATTTGAAAGTTCAAAGCCAAAACCTCCTCATATCTTTAACACTATTTCGAACTCACTTCTCTCTCTCCATGCTAAATCAGGCCCATCAAAAGCCAAAACCTCCACATATCTTTAACACTATTTCGAACTCACTTCTCTCTCTCCGCAAACTTACCATGTCTTAAGTAAGTCACTTTCACCATGGATCATGTGGCGGGGGATGTACCATTGATCTTGCTCAAAATCTTTTTACTTTATACTAGAAAATGCCAAACCCGATTTTACATTTGACAACTTAAGAGTGTTCGTGATCTTTTATGTGCACAAATCTAACCATCCATAGTGTACAAGTTGGGTTTTTTTTATATATGAGCAACCTATATGATTTTTTTTATGCTTTTGGTGTGATTTTCAAAATTTGCAAGCAAGTTTTCAAAAAATATTGATTTGGATTAGGTTTGGTGAGTGGGTGATCCAAATCTATGACTATTGAATAGCCTGATTCCTACCCAATTTCATTTATTATTATTATTTCCCTTATTTGGGCGATCCAGATCGCTCCAATTTAGCCATCCCCGGTCGGCTTATGAAAAACCAAAAATGGCCCTACAGTATTCATAGGCCCATCCTTTCCGATATTTTTTTGCTGACTGATCCTAAAAATTTGGGAATGCACCATCTTGCACCTTGCATTCAACCGAGTAGACCATGAAAGAAAAATTGTGCATCTGTATTTCCTAGATAAATGTTATAAATCTGAGAAAAAAATTTAAACAAATTTTATATTTTTTTTGAACGTATGAATTATCATCCAAGGGTCCACTTGAGTCCTTGAATATTAATTTCCAGGATATTCTTCATTGGTAGATAAGTCTTCTCTAATAATTTTAAATGATCGATGCTCAAATTTGAAGAAAAATATTTTACGTTCAAATTTGAAGAAAAATAATATTGTAATTCATGTTTTAACTTCATCTTGGAAAAAAGATGTCCAATTAAATAAATAAAAAATTTCATTTCCTAAAATTGAATCTTCTTCAGAATCTTCAGTGCAATCACCTCTCACCTACAAAAACCCTATTATCGTTATATCTATTGTATATAGGCACAATAGAGCCTAGGCTCTAAACAATCAAATTAGAGCCTACCTCAAAAGTTTCACTAGAAGTGGTTGCTTTGATGTCCAAATATCAATTAAATTGTTTATCTCAACATCAAGATGTGTGAACATGAGAAAAAAAAAAAAGATTTCAAGTTTTAAAAGTAGTGCATCTTGTAATGCATTTTTAGATCGTTAATTTTCGAGAATTTCAAATTTTCAATGATCTACACAATCTATACTATTTGTTAAGCTTTAAATTTTATAACTAAAGATGAAAATATAATTTAAGGCTATAACTAATATTGAAATTATATTTCTCGACACTATTCGAAGATGGGCTTTAATTTGATTGTTTAGAGCATTGGCTCTAAACAAAT